ACTGACAACTGACTGTTAGTCTTGCAAACTCCATGAATACTACGGGACTAAATGTCAGGGTGTATATCTATATGGTATATATTTTGGGGCTTGTATATCTCCACTTTTACCTAAATATATTTTGTTGTCCAATGTCACACTAAATATATTTCTAGTGTGTCACACACCCCAAAATATATTTCCTCCCTGGAATGGACTCCAAATATATTTCTTATGCCTGGACCCTGAATTGTGACTGTCACAATGTAGAAATATATTTCTTGTCTGGGATGGACTTGGGATATATTTTGCAGCTAGGGTTGACTAAGGATATATTTTTTCACCCACAAGGGGTGTCTGGGGTCCTATATTTAAGAGAAAAACTTGGGATTTTTTTTAATATAGGGGATAGGGGATTTACCTATTATTTTGTAGGCAGAATACCCTCATTGGGATGTTTGTTGACAGATATTTACCAATAGCTTTGACCCATGTGTAGTATATGCATTGATGTGTGCACTATTTCCTAATTGGGAAAATCATTACACTTTTTTCTGCCACACCTGATGTCAGGCACAGTGCACATTTAGGTTGGGAAGTGTTTCCCATGCTTTTTGAGCCAGAAGAATTAATGGCTAGCATGGTGTGGTCATTGATAATGATGATGTGCGCACTATTTCCTAATTGGGCCATTTCCTAATTAAGAAAAGCGTTACACTTTTTCAGACACACCTGATGTCAGGCACAGTGCACATTTAGGTTGGGAAGTGTTTCCCATGCTTTTTGGGCCAGAAGAATTAATGGCTAGCATGGTGTGGTCATTGATAATGATGATGTGCGCACTATTTCCTAATTGGGCCACTTCCTAATTAAGAAAAGCGTTACACTTTTTCAGACACACCTGATGTCAGGCACAGTGCACATTTAGGTTGGGAAGTGTTTCCCACGCTTTTTGGGCCAGAAGAATTAATGGCTAGCATGGTGTGGTCATTGATAATGATGATGTGCGCACTATTTCCTAATTGGGCCACTTCCTAATTAAGAAAAGCGTTACACTTTTTCAGACACACCTGATGTCAGGCACAGTGCGCATTTAGGTTGGAACTGTTTCCCACGCTTTTTGGGCCAGAAGAGTTAATGGCTAGCAGGGTGTTGTCATTGTTAATGATGATGTCCGCATATTTCCCAATTGGGAAAGTCATTACATAATATCAGTTTGGTTTGTAGTGTCCGGTTTTTTCATTACAAAATTGTATAGTGTCCGCTTTTTTCATTAGAAGAATGTGTAGTGTCTGCTTTATTCATTAGAAAATTGTGTAGTGTCTGCTTTTTTATTATAACACTTTGTAGTGTCCGCTTTATTCATTAGAAAATTGTGTAGTGTCCGCTTTTTTCATTACAACACTTTGTAGTGTCCACTTTATTCATTACAAAATTGTATAGTGTCCGCTTTTTTCATTAGAAATGTGTGCA